ATAATGACACTTCCTTTTGCAAAGCACTGTGCTATCTGCAAAGCTGTATAAGAACTAAGTGTTATTATTAGAGATGGGAAAGGTCTATTAGATCATCTGTCCACCTCTGATATAACAGAAAATGACAGTGATTTGCTACCGTGATTTGGCAGTGACATTTGTAAAAATGTCCTTTCCTCTTAACTCTCTGCAAGTTTCAGGGCTGAGAATTCAATAAGCTAGGCAGCTTACTAACTTTGTCACTCTCCAAGTTCTATATACCTCTCATCCTGAGGTATTAAATATACTCATTTCAGGCCCACTTTTCCATCTCCTTCCTTCAACTTTCAGTTTTAGAAGAAGGAAAGAAAAATCAGCATGAATACCGTACATGTCAAGCTTCACAGAACGGGTCTTTCACTCCCCAGCTGCACACCGCTTGCATCTCACCCATCTGCAAGGCAGTATCGTAGCATCTCTCCTGCTTGGGATTGTGCATCATGTAGGAGTGAAGCTGTTGTCCATCTTGCTGGTGTTTTCCAGCAGACTTCCATCCAAAATATACCTAACCACAACCCACTGTGATATGAGCATCCATCATGTATTCTATCCATGGTGGATGCCTGATCAGATAATGCATCTTATCTGATGGCAGCCGTAAGAGGTCTGCAGAACTCTTGGTGGTGGATACTGGCAGGTCAAAGATCCTTCTCATGGATGAAGGCTCTGCTTCTCCACTGCTTTCAAGGGAAAGAATTGTTCCTGCTCTTCCTTATATTCCCTAAAATTTCTTGGAATGTTTGCTAGAACAGGTTTTCAGTTTAAGTGCCAATATAATAAAATGTCTGGAGGGAAATCAGTTGAAGTATGCAGGAGATGACTCTCAGTATGATTCACGCTGCTGTGAGCAAAGAAGAGGTCTGTCTGGCCTTCTGTACTGGCGTGATAACAGATATTGGATGCAGTGTGTACTCAGATAAAGTTAATGGCAGTGACATCTGGTAGATGACACAGAGGAGTAAACTCTTATCATCTGTTTTTTAACACTCTGTGCCCAAACTATTATATGTCAAACTTGGTGAAAGTGAATAATCTTTCAGTATCTACCACTCTTCCCTCCCATGCTCTCAGTCATATGAGACTGAAGGACTGCTAGATAAATCACCTCCATACATTTACAAGGACAGCAGAGCTAAAAGCAGCCAGGAAAAAAGGATTCAAGGTATGCAGCTCATTAGTAGTGGCCTCCCCAATATTTAGCAGTCATTGTACAGACTCATACATTCCCAAAGCCCTCTCACAGTCGTAACAAATGCTTACATAAAACCTTGTACCTTCAAAGTGCTTCACCAACATAAATATATTAATAAGACCTTTCCCAGAAGATAATGCATTGTCAGAGAGATGCCATTCAAATGACTGGGCTATGAGAGGTTGAGTTTCAAATATTTCATTAAACATCATCTGCCATCAATTTCAAGCCCGTTTAGAAAAAAGGATGGAAAGTACAGTGCAGCTTTATGAGCAAAAAGAAGAGTAACTGCTCGTAAAATGATTTTGCCCTCTGTGATTGCACTGTTAATTAAATTGTATATTCTGTGATGTGCATCAACTGAATTCTACATAAAGTGAAATAAAAATAAGATTTTTATACTCAGTTTGACTGATGCCACCTAGATGGTTCTTTCAAAGTGACTAGTGACAATTGCCACTGATGCGCTTTGGTATGCATTTTGTTTTGGGGTCATAATGAAAACATTAAGGATAGTTTGGCATCTGATACTTAATTGCAAACACACATAGAATTCTAGTTAGTGCTAGGTTGTTAAGAACTTACAAACTTATCTAAGTGCTGTAAGGGCAAAAAAGGAAACAAAACGTGTCATTTTTCAAATATTGCAGACTACATACAGATGTGCTTTTCAGGGACAGATTAATTATGCAATTATAACATGTAGAATAGTCTACAAAAGATTTTTTTGTAGTAATAAAATTACATTTGTCATACATTTGTCTGATGAAATCCAGTTTCTTAGGTTTTAATTCAATTTTTGTCATGTTTTCTTACAATTAGAAAGCCAGACTGCCATATCACATTCATGATCACTACCAAGATACAAGCATGTGTCTGTGGCCACTCATCTGGCCTAGGTAAATCATGTTAGCCTTTATATGCGCAGTACTGTATTTGCTAATTCTGAAGCCAGGGTACTTCTTGGTCGCAGCTATATCTGCTGTGAATTCTGCAATGTCTGCTGTGTCACCTGATTACAGGTTTATAGAGATAGGACCTCCCCCATCCCTCTCTGTCCCCTACCTATTATCACATAAAATGTACTAGAATTTCTCTGACATCTTTGCTGTGGAGCAGGGGCTGGAACGTCGAAGATGGTGAGTTACTTGGCAGTAGTCAAATATGAAACTATGAATGACATTTCATGTGAAACAGCTCCCAAACCACTGACAGATGTAACTCTCTTCATTTGTGGCAGAGATTTCTTTTCCAAACCGGGCTAAGCAATTCTTTGAATCAGGCTCAACATACATATGACAGAAGTAGAGGTTCCATAACAGAGAAAAAATAAGTGAAGACCTTTTGAATTAAATATACTTGGCTTACCTACACCTTGAGTAACTGGTTTCTGTGGGGTCACTTCTTTTTATTTGTACAGTGAGCTCAGGAGCTGTTGTAGAAAAGCTACAACTCATGTATAGAAAACTAAGATTAACAAAGTCTCTAACTAACCTAAGTTATCTTGTTTTCCCATATTTATTTGATACCTTGCATGCTTATGAGCACAGAGATGCAAAAACGAAACAGGAGACCTCCTGTATTATGAAAAAATATTTAGGGAGTTGGTGTAAGCACAATTTTTCATGATGTTTTCATAAGATCATATTGCCTAGCCTCTTATAAATAAAAAAGCCACACATTCATAGTAACTTCAAAAAGGCCCTATCAAAAAAATTTATAAAAATGACAGTGTTTTTTCTGCATATATAGTACCTGAAATTTGAAGAAAGGTGAGGGCAGAGGCTCAAATGAGAACTAAGAAAAGCTAGTTTCTTCTAGCTAACATGACTCATGCACACATATTTGCACAGACAAATGACAAACATGTAAAAACAAACATCCATCAGTTCACTTGGGCTCTGAAAGCACAAATAAGGTACAACCTAGATTTTGTCTCTACTGCAAACTGTTCCAAGCTCTTGCAATACTCTTCTAACATCCAAATACTTTAAGAATTATTTATTTTAATTACCACCTCCTGTTTTAATAAAAAGTTCTTTCCAAGTCAGAATGCATTTTTGGAAGTAACTCACACTGTTCAATATCTGCTTCAAGCAACGTTATCATTGTTTTGTATTAGCAGGATGTGAACTTTATGAAGCAACCAAGTGGCTGAGGCAGGTCTTACTGTGGAGTTGAGCTAGAAAACTCAAGAGGCAATGTTCTATGCCACAAAGACATATGAAACCCCATGCTAATCTGTACCATGTTATCTGTCAGCTGCATACGGGGATATCATTGTTTATGTTCTAGAAATTTGAAGTTATACTAAAAAGGTAAAGTTTAAATTCTTTGTTGTAGTATTTGGCTTATTTTATGTGTTTTGAAACAGAGAAACATGAAACACTTCGATATCACACACAATAGTGCAATAAAAGTCCAATTTGATATTTAATAAAGTTTGGAAGGATTAATACACTCCAATTTCACATTTCTAGTTTTCCAGTATGCTGAGGCCTTAAAGGAACAGGGCTCTTGAACTGCAAACTTCCTTTTTCTCTTTTTTTCATTTTCATCTTTAGCTCTAAGAGTGGAAGAAAAATGCCCCATATAGCATGGGTACCAATGTCACATGCAACAAGAGAGCCCTGCAAATGCTGTCACTATGAAACAATGCCATGCAGAATAGTCTCGATGTAGCAGTGGCTTTCAAATCAATAAGCAGCAGAAGAAAGCCATCTGAAAATAGTCTTGAAAAACAAACCCTCAAAAAGGCAAGACTGAAATCTACCATTTCTGAAAATCTGAGAAGGCTGCATGGCTCAGCATCTGCTGAATTTTTCACAACTTGCAGTCTAAATCCAATATTCAGGTTTTCGGCACTTGTATTAAAGAAAGATTTCATCCAGAGATTGTCCCTTTAATTGCAGAAACTAACATTGGAATCCAAACCAGCTTATTAACTAAATTAGACAACAAGGAACTCAGACTCAGATTCCTTCTTCTCCACCAGAGAACTAAGCATGCTGTGCACTCTGACTATTATGAGTGGGCAGATATTTTCTAGCAATCAAAAGGAAAAATAATGTAAAACTGAGAACAAAATTGTCTTATAATAAGCAAAAAGGTGGATGTACCAGTATGAACAACCTCACAGGATGCACAATTTAGTGATGAAATATTTCCAAAAACTGTCTTGTGCACATGTAGCTCTATGCCTACTAAATAATGAACCCACAGGGTATTGGCACAGAGAGGAAAACAAAAAAGGTGATTAATATTTGAGTGAGATGCCGTTCTAAGGTCTTTGTCAAATGCATAACTCTAATCAATGGATATTATTGCATAGCAGCTCAATAAAACTGTAAGGTATTTCAACAAAAACCTACCATTATCTTCATGCACAATAAGATGCCTTGAGATGCAAACATTGTGAATGATTAGGGCCACAAAGAAGCCTAAATGCACACTGCTCTTATAATTCAAACACAAATTCTATTTACCCAAACTGCATCAATACAAGAAAAAGTCAAACTCATGAAAACTTTCTTAATAAGTTGCATAAAGTATCAAAAAGATTGAAAATAGGATTAGCAAAGGAGAATGTACCATTCAGTGAGTATTGGAAAAGATGCTTATCAAAAATTTTTCAGGCAAAGTAAGTCTGAGAAATGCTGATAATAGATGGGAGCTGTCTCGGCAAAAAAAGTGTTGCTAGCTTGACTGTTTCTCTAGCTGAGGATAAAAGTGTCCTGGGGGGAAAAAACACAAGGCTGATTTTTCTTACCTCTTCCTTCTCTGCACTTTGCAAGTCCCTCCACTCCTCAGTGACGTGACCAAAGTCCACTGTGTTCATCGCAACCTTATATTCCCCAATGATATCATGTTTGGAGAAACGATCAAAGTCATAAACCGCCATCACTAAAGTTTTTCCACCCAGCTCAGAGTACGGCACCTGCAAAGAAGAGAAAATGACAAACTCCGTATCTGAGACAATAAAGATCAGTCCACTACAATGCAAATCTGTTTCTTTGGTTTATCAGCTGTCATCTCAGGTAAATTGAACTGCAGAGAAAATTATGAGCTGTATTTGTTTCAGAGTCACCAGACGCAGTATTTTTTGAGACCAGGCTCTGGCACTCGATAGAACAATGTGGCAGCTCACTCATCACTCCATGGGTTTTTCTCATTCTACTTCAAATCATTTTGTGGGTGATGAAACTGAAACAGGAAGCCCAATTATTTGCACTGAAGACACATGAACTTTTCACACGATGGTGTCTTTCCCTCAATAAATCAGCTGTCATCACTCAGAAATGGGTAGCTCCCAGACCGATGAAAAAAACAGAAAATGCTTACTGTACCTGACACAAAGTAATTAGACACTAAATAGTTCTCTTACAGTAACACTACCTATTACTTACCAAGGCATATTTTTCATTATTATACCTTTCACACTGTAGACACTAAGGTGCTTTCTAAGTCACAGTGTACAGCTAGAAATTGTGGTGGCAGAAGGCCAAGTTCTGAGTAATTCTCCAGCTGTTCTGATGTGTTTTGGACAGATGCTGTGAGTTAGGATGCTCATGAGTCACATTTTTAATATTCAGATGAAGATGTGCAGTTCAGGTAAGCTGCACTTGAGTGGCTATCTGGAGAGGACTGATTTAGGAATTGTTTGGATTTACACTGAACACTTGGTCAATTTGAATATATTCTGCAAGTATAAATGGTTTCCATTGGCTTCTGTAAGCATTTCTCTATTAATTGTCTATATAAAAAGAGACATGAAAGCGTGGCATTATCATTGGCCTTGTTAACCGCTGTATGTTCTGGTCTGTTTAAACCCTAGGACTGTTGTCTTTTGTTACTGTTAGGCTTCCACTTGCTTTTTGAAATACTTACTAATAACATGAGTAGTTTTTCTTTTTCATAATATGTTATATAATGTTTAAAAGAAGCTCCAGCTTCCATTACTGAGTACAATAGTTTCAGTGCGTACGTAGCTGTGTATTGTAGCAAATACTACAGAAAAATCCATTTTGATTCTGTAAATTATTTGTAGCTTCTAAAAAGCTATAGAAGGTAAAAGTATGTGGAAGGCAAAATGCCATATAATTTCACTTTTATTTTTATGCAGCTTCAAAAACAGGGGAAGAGAAATGTTCTAAAGTTTCTTTCTCTATCAGTTTACAATACCACTTAATGGATCCTGGTCATCTGGAATGCATGAAAAGACTACATTTATCATTATTTACTTTTTTTTAATCATTAACTTGACCTCAGTAAAGCTTATTTTAGCTACTTTCCTTTTCAAAGAAGATCTAGTGGCAGTGCTTCCTCCATTCATTACCTCTAAAGCAGCCTCAGCCTACAGATTTGCTCAGAACAACCAAGGATGTCCTTAGCTCTTGTGAAGGATTGCTCCCTCTCCCTGCGTTCTGCTCTGCTCAGAGATACTCAGCCTCTTGACTTAATGCAGGTGAGACCTTGGTAGAAGGACACATATGGGAGTGTTTTTCTGGCACATGCATCACTCCTCCAGACATGAACCCACATCCCACGTTGGGCCTGGGGAGGAACACCTCTCTTTGCCAGACTGGTGTAGTCCAGCCAGGATTTCTCAGTTTCCTTTTGGCAGCATAGAGCAGGTATACAATTCAGACAGCTGGAGCCTGACGAACACCTGCACCCTGAAGCGGCACCATGGATGTCTGGGAAACAGAAATGAAAAGGGGACTAACATGGGGAACCACCCAAAGAAGACAAGGATTGAGGTCCTGGGCTCAAGATGCAATACAGCAGAAACATAACCCATCTCATCCCCATTAGCCCTTCTTTGGGAGGAAGGCGGGCAGCTCACACCTGCGCCCTGGGATAAAGTAACAAAATGGGGCTGGGCTGCCTGGTGGGCAGCTCTGCCAAAGAGAGAGATGGGAAGGATGCCAACAGAAGCTGTGCACCACCTGAAGCAGGTCACAGAAGTAAGGCTCTGCCCAAGTAAACAAGATATCGTCAGTAGTTCCCACAGAAGTTATTTATTAGAGTTGCAGCACCTGTTAAATGGCCGCTTGTCTTTTTCACTGTAGTCCCCAGAACAATGATAGCACTTGGCATGCTCCGTTGATTTTCTCTTGAGTACAGACCACAGTATCCAGGGGATGATCAGTACCATATTGGGATGCACCTAAACACTCTGTCAGGTCTTGAGTGGAAAGCAAACTTTCTTCTGGGGCATAAAATTTGAATATTAAAGATGTGACTTAAAACAAGTGGACATTATAGCCCAGGAGTGGATGATCTGATTTATAATTTGTGCCTTCATCTTAGATGACAGCGTTATTGGTTCTTTCTTTTCTTTTGTGAGCTGCAAGGGAATCTGTAATTTATAACTCTGTTTTCTTTTAAATACTCTCTTAGGAAAGCTCAAGAAAAAAATAACTCCCCACAAAAGATTATTTTTATGAACATCTTCAAGGGAAAAAATAAGCTTATATATGCAGTAGTAGTTCTGGCCTCCAGGGATATCTTTCTCATTGAATGATTACATAGCCTGAGTCTTTCACTGTTCCTGTTTTCAATCTGTAGCTGTCATTATATGATTGGGTATAGAGAGAAGGGCCTAAAGTAACAGCAGAGGAATGTATATTAGAAGCCCCATGAAACATGCCGTATAGTATTCCTTTATTGTATTGTAATGGGGTTTAGGCACAGCTACAGTTTTAGAAAAACACTATTGATAGATGCTATTGGAATGACTTAAATATTGCAATGTAGGGCTTAGCTACGTTTATTTAATTCATATGTTATTAAACCTGAGATATGATTTCTTTTCATATGTAAAACAGCATGGCAAAGAATTGCTATGACAAAGTCTAGCAAGATTAATCTGCCATATTGTCCTTCATCCATTTACCTTCCCTGAGTTTTAATTTATTTTTGAGGGTAAAAGAAATGGTATACTGAAATTCATAAATCAGACTACAAAGACATTTAACGAAAATGCTGGTCTAGTGAAATTTACCCGACATTTGTTGAAGTGTCACTGTTTTCTGACTTTCTTGTAAGTTTTATCCAGCCATAAAATGTGGATCAGATTGTCATATCAGGATAACTGAAGTGCCTAAAATCAAACTGTGCCTTTTACACCTACTGACGTCTGACCCTATGTTATACCATTTTTGTCATAAGATTGAATATCAGAGGTTTCTACAACATGAAAAATCACTACGCTGCCATTACCAATTAACTAAGACATCTAACTTTGTAGCCAAGGATGAGATACGTAGTGTTTTGTTAAATAAAAAAGTTTCAATAATTATAAAAAAAAATACCTTGAATGTAAATTGCTCATTGAAAACAGGGTTAAGGGTCTTTCTGTGGACTTTTGTCTCATATTTCTTCTTCTTATCAGGCAACAGGAAAACTTTCACATAGGGATCAGAGGTACCACCCATATCTAAAGCAGGCAGCTCAGCTGCTTGAATAATCCCAACCAGAAGCTGAAAAGAGAGAAAAACAGCAGAATGAAATTTCAAATAGATATTTATAAAAAAAAACTGTAACAGAGAAATACACATGCAGACTCTATTTCTGGTCTATGAAAAACTATTCCTGCTCCCCCCTTCAGGGAAGGCAAATGAAGCAACACTATAGACTTTAGAAAACCAATTATGGCAGATGCAGACTGTACAAAGGCTGTTTTTAAGCAGAAAAGAGGTTTTCAAAGGGCAGCTGATTACAGATAAATACAGACTTCATCTTTTTACAGACTGCAATCAAATAACTTTCAATTGCTCTCTTCTCTTGTGCATTATTTGCCTATGCTGGGCACCATGAATAGAAATCACATTATTAAACAATCAAGAATGTCTAATTTTGACTACAAAATTTGTATTCTAAATCCTCAACATGCAACCTTCTCCCCAACCAAACACAAAAAGGTGATGTATCAAATGCAAATCGTCAGGCAGAGCTTTATTGAAAACAAATGGATCTTGCAGTCTTCCTTATATTTAAATTTTTTGGCTAGGTATACAAATGGGTTTAGGCAGTAAACTAAGGAAAGCATTTTCAAAAAATGCCCCATGAAAACTAACTTTTGATAACTAAATCCTAATAACAATTCGTAATCCCATTGAAAAACAGAAAAATTAGTTCTTAAATCTCTTATACACTTCTAAAAATAAGACTGAAGCACATTTGAAACTTGTAAATGCCTTGGCCATTTTTTAAATGTTATAAGTGAAGGCTTATGTTATGTTATGTTATGTTATGTTACGTTACGTTACGTTACGTTACGTTATGTTATCTAGACACCCCAGCCTGTATTAGTCCTCACCAGCATAATGGAGTTGAGAGAAAGAAAATACTTTTAATCTTGTTTCATAGACAGAGAACTAAGGTAAACTTTCAAATGACTCTTCAAGGTCAATCTGGAGACAAGATATTAAGAACTGTGAATGAAATCTGAGAATATTTTCTTCTAAATCAGTGTTTCAGTCACAATATATTTGCTTCTCTCATGGATGAATTGTTTAAAATTGGAAACAGAAGCTCTAACAACTGGAATACAGAACAATATAGTCAACCTAGGAAAGTAGCTTCTGGCTTCTGAGAGATTCCTCAAAGTCGAACTTATTTTTACCAGTTTTAAATTCACAGTATGGCCTGGATACTTTCCCACCTATAGGTGGGAGCTCTTAAGCTCCAAGAAAAATTTTTCTTTAGCTGTAAGAAACACTTTTCCTTTTCTGTCTCATTCTTATTCTAGATGCATAAATACATGGATAGGCTCAGGATCTACATCAAGTCTTTCACATCAAAGAGTGAAAAACAAGTTTATGACTTTTAGTTAACAGAGTTGAAAAGCAATTTGATTCCCTTTTAAAATTTCTCTCTCTAAAACTGAGGCATCGTACTCTGAAGAGTACACTGGTCATCTTGTCTCCATTCTTAACGCCGTGCAATGTATTAGCCAGATTTTTGGTCTGTAGTTTCATGCCACTGTGCTATACTAATCTAACTGAATCCCCTCTTCTACTCTTTTGTATCATCTATCCTCTGACAAATATGAAGCTGCAACATAGTTTAGAGCAGCAAAATAAGAGAGGAACTATCGAGCTGTCAGCCTCACCTCTGTGCCTGGCAAGATCATGGAGCAG